TCATAGTTGTTAAGGCGTCGCCTAGGCGCTAAGGCGTTATGTTTTGCTCGCCTCGCCCAGAAAACCCTCAGGCGGTCAGGCGCTCGCCTAGGCGTCGCCTTACCTCGCCTTATGTCGCCTTTCTTGCCTAGACGCCTTGGGTCACTTCAAAATTATGAAAAGCCCAATTTTTTTTAGTGCAGCCTATTTTTTTTAGTTCAGCCCATCCTTTTAGTGCAACCCAGAGACTGAAGTTGAACCATTTCCAAATGATGATGAGCAAATTGAGGATGACTATGGTGTTGATTTATCTACTGTCCAGGATGAATCTATGGACACACTGACACAAATAATGATATCCATTTGAATGAACTATTCAATGATAATATTTAGACATGCATGTTTGGTTCATTAAACCAGAGGGATGGAGATGAACTTGTTTTGAATTGTGTTTTTGTTTTGAATTGAACCCTTCTTTCTTTTTCAGATTATGTGTGGACTTTTATTTCATATGTTGTGCCTTATTATTTATAATATTGTGGTATGTTGTGCCCTATATATATATATATATATATATATATATATATATATATATATATATATATATATATATATATATATATATCTGTGTGTGTGTGTGTCTATATAACTCGCCTAGGCAGTATGAAGGTATATTGGCGCCTTGCCTCGCCTTACCGTCTTACAAACTATGTTAATAATGTGAAAGTGATGTCTACTTAACATATGATCAATGAAAATATAAAAATAAAGAAGAAATAGTTTGACAGTACAACAACAACAACAACCCAATTGGATAGTGGGATCTTGGGAAGGTGTGTGTACGCAGACCTTGACAGTATGAATAGTAACTTGGAAGATGATTTTGGGACAGAGAGAGTATAAGTCAACACTATTGTATCTGTTCTTAATCTACCCAAGGAAATAGCACATTAGAACTTTAATGAAAGTTGCTTAGATACAATGTTTCACTATTTTTCACACAATATTTTTAAATAGTTAAGCAACTTTTGCTTAGTGAAGCAACCTTTAAACAAGTTGAGCAATGGTGCTTCCATGTCATAAGCCACATTAGCATTTTTTATAAGCAACTTGCATTAACAATCCTCTTAGCACCATCCCAAAGTCATTAAATGTATTACAGACATACTATTAAGTTGTATTACTGTATGCCAATTTATATTATACTTCTCTCAATGATATAACTTTCACCATTCAATACAACAGCTATTATACTAGTCCTGAAAATACAAAGTCTAACACCTATTAAATTTGTAAAAGTTAAATTAAAATCTATCCTTGTAAGTTGTAATAATGCATAGAAGTTCATAAAGTTTTAGAATGAGAAGTTACTAGGGGTAAGTATGGAATGGAGACCAAGCCAAAGCACATCAAGCATAACACAATGCTTAAAGGGTAAAAGAAAATACAGGCCTGAGACAGATGCATAAAAAATATAAAATCACAAAAAATTAAGTGATATTGGGTTACCATGGTAGACAGATGCTGGCCTTTTAGCATTCTCTTATCACAAATCCACAATCAAATTTAAAACAATCTAGCATTGTCAGTTTTAGTATGTATTTCCCATGAATTTAGTTTATTATTATTCCACAATTAACAGTATAATCCAAAGCTTATAAATTTAAAGATACCATCAATCAGCAGCCACAGCGAACAGAAGCGGTTGTCATCATCAAGAGTCGAGGGACGAAGAGGATGCATCATCTTTATGCTTGATCATGCCAGAATCAACAAGAACTGGGATTTCTGCAGCAAGCCAAGGTGCAAGCCCCAAACAGAGTGCATGTGCTATTCCAAATCTGGGGCTGTCAAAACCAATTCTTTTCAATGCTGGATCATAAAACCCTAACTAAGAACCATTCTATCAACGCTGGGTAATATAAAAACAATTACCAGTTCTTAGCCCAGAGTGGCTTGAAATGCACCGTCAAGCAAATCTTCCCTCCTCTATACATCTAAACACTCACAATTGAAGAGAATCCCCAAAATCAGGGATTCGGAAAACCGAGGAAATTAAATTGCAGAAATCAAATTGGAGTATACCTTTTCGGTCTTGCCGTCGAGTTGAGGCAACTCGAGTTCGGGGGCGGTGGCGGGGTAGGTGACAGGGATGTCGAATTGGAGGTCGAATTCATACTTGAGGAGATTGTGGACATACCAGCACTTGCCGGTCCAGCGCGTGCCTTCCGGATTAGCGGCGGCTATACGAAACCAGTCGTTATCCTTGGACTTGTTCATCGCCGTGTACGCTATCAGTGCTTTGTACTCCTCCTTGAGCCGCTGCATCCACGCCGCGCCATCTCTCGGCCCGGCTTTCGTCGCCAAAAGCGGGATCTGCGTGAGAGTTGATTTCGTATTCGGATCCCAACTCTCCATTCCCCAAATCCCGATTTCAAGCTTCTTCGATAGAGATAGAATTTTACGGCTTAAGGTCTTAATTCTCCCTCTTCATAATAGCGATATTACAATTATGGGTCAACTTATTTTTACAAATCGGACTCGACTTATTTTCATTAAAACAGTTTGGGCCGGAACGGGTTTTCAAAAATTTAAAATTGAAATCGGGCCTAACTCGACTTGTTTGAAACGGGCCAATTCCACGGGTCAACAGGTCCGAACCTATCATGATACTAATATTAAAAAAATAAAGTGATAATAAATTAATAATACATACATGGTCATTCACCGTTAGTCCACAACAACGTACTACCCCCATTGTCAATTTTAAGTCATCCAACATAAAAAAAGGCCTAAATGAAGAGAAAACAATGACAAAGAGGGGTAAGGGGGTAACTTGTAAGGGCGTTGTTCCTACTGTAATTACTAATAATAATACGGAGTATTAAAAAGCGGTACGGTCCAGGTCCTTAACAATTTCAAAATGGAGAACCAGACCCTAAAACCTATAAGGACCGGCCCGTTATAAATATTTGAAAAGAGGACCCGCCCCTTACCCGAACCGAAACTGTCGATTCGGTTTCAACTCCCGGTTCCTTGACCCGTTTGCCCACCCCTAATTACAATTATCGAGGCAAATTCTATGTTGAGCAAAATAAATACTTGTATATCTTTATTATTTAAATAAGTAGTTTTTAATAAAAAAAATTATATGAGAAGGTCCACAAAAATGATATGTACCCAAAAGGCAACTTAGAAACACTCTTATATTGATACTTTAATATCTTTGTTTATAGAGTGAAATATATATATTAAAATTAACTTATTGATATTAACTTTGTTTCATAATTTAATACTCCGTATATTTTTTTCGTAACTTGTAATCAATGTTTAAAAAATCGACCTTGAACTGTAAAGTAGAAAGATTGATGTAGGAAGTAATTAAGATTATATAGAAATAAATTTAAATGTTTTGAATGTGATTGGAATTTATATAACTGAGAGATATTATTGAAGTCAAATGTTCATAAAAGTAAAACCTTTATAAATTAATAGCCTATAAATCATGAAATTTTATTAATTTAGAAATATATTAATACATAGATAAATTAATACTTTATTAATTAAAAGAGACTTTTCAAATTCAGCAAATTTAATACGTCTGCATAATTAAATTTGATGAAATAAAATCTTCTTATTATATTTTGTTTTGAAGATCCTTTGACATAACTCTTAAATATATAAATTTTTATTTTTTTATTTGTGTGTTAATTTCTAAATAAATGAAATTGAAAAAACTTAAAATTTTATTTCATTTTGTGTAATGTGACAAACTTTTTGAGACAAATGAAGTAAAATTGGAAAGCCAAGGCTCTAATAAGTAAATTTTTATGTGATCTTAAAGTTCATGTCCATTTTACGTGATCTTTAAGTAAGAACCAATCTTATCTTTAAGCTAAAAATTTTGTCTTTGCTCAACATAAACAAGTTAACCATCTAAATGCTTAGATATCATGTTAAAAAAGCAACTCAGCCAAATGCTCAATCTTATCATTGTAGGTCTTCGATCTAACACACACTTTCACCTGAGCAGTCGTCGCTTTGAGTCTTGCACATGATGAAATTAAAACATAATTTTTTTAAAACTTGAAAGACGGTGAGGTTTGAACTTAATTGTGACCGCTTGTGGTTAACAAGGTTTTGTTAGTTCCTTTATGTTCTTGTGTAAACATGTTGTATGACTCTTTTTGGCATAATTTTTTGACAATCTAGTATAGACGTGTCGTGTTAGCAGCTAGCTATTTTGGTTATTTTAGAGCTGTAGCAATGTGTCCGTCATCCTGGTTTATGAAACGTAGCGGGGAATTGGCTAGCTATGGTATCCCTTTTACCCCTTTTCAATTTAAAGAAATAATGTTCAACGTACAATACAATAGTGTATATGTGCTAAATGAATACCTTGCAGTAGTGGATGTGGCGGCTTTCAAAGCTTTAATCAATCAGTTCTTATCATATATACTTCTCCCTCTATCAGAGCGGTTCTTATTTTGATTAATGGAAGAAATAAAGAGTGTCTTTTTTAGTTGACTTTTCAATTTTAATTTGTCTGTGATGTGATGAGTAAAAGTAAGACAGATAGATAGGTATGATGTCTTAGGTAAGATAAGAAATAATAAGCATAAAATTAGTTTTTTATTACAAAATGAAAATGTTTTAATGAAAGAGAAAAAATTAAAGAGAAAGTGTTTTGGTTCTAGATTAATTGACTTGATCGTGGAATCCAAAAAGAAAAGGATAAATATTCCGTATATATTCCATATATCTGTGAGTCTGTGTTTGGCCCAAAGCAAAAGTGCAAAGGACACTAGGGTTTCAATGGCAGGAAAAGCTAGCTAGCTAGGACCACGTTCACATAAAGTTGCCATAATACTGCTTATATGACCCTAAACTACAAGGCCTTATTGCCCTACAACTCAAAGGACTTGCTCCCTCTTGCGGTGCTCTTCAAATCCCACTTAGCTAACACTTTGATGCAAGATGTGTGAAAAAAGAGGGGAAACAATCATGGCGCACTTTAGACTGCAAATTTAAACATATAGCTTAGGGTGGTTTCCCTCATGTATATGGAAAAGACACAAATTTAGGCTCTATTTGTTTGTGTGTAAAATATTTTCCTTGAAAAATATTTATCAAAGAAAATGATTTTCAAGAAAAGTTATTTTTCAATCACCCATAACCCTATTTTTGACTATTTTTGACTTTCAATTGTCAAATCGGTCAGAGCATTATCAAAAGTGTTAGAGAGAATTCGCATTAGGCCTCTCTAAGCAAGTATGAGGCCGGGGGTAGAACTCCGTTGTTTAACAAGTACTACCGGTAGCTAGTTGAGAACATATATAACTCAAAGTATATATCAAAGGCATCATTTTTTACTAAAGTGTTGGTCTGGTGAAAGTGATGGTTACTAAGGCCGTTTGTTATGAAGTGTGAGGGAGATTTTTTTGCATCATTTGCCCTCCCATAATACATAGCCTAAAAGGTGATTTTTTTTGCATCATTTGCCCTCAATTCCCTCAAACTCTTCAAAAACAGCGTGAAATACCTTGAAATGAGATTCCTCATCTCTGAACAGATCATCGAAAACAATAAAAATTCACACAATTTTTGAAGAGTTCATAGATAAATGAAGTAAAAAAAATCAATAAATGGCCGCCGGTGTTGAGAAGGAAACGCACCAATGCGAAATAATGATGGGAAAATAGTGTGCTTTGTGGGTGTTGTACTTGGACTCATTGTCTCCCTTTTGAGTGATAGTAGAAGTAGTAGTAAGTACTGTCCGTAAACTGATTTTTTTTAAAAAAAATAAAAAAAACAACTGTGTAGGGGTACGTGCATATATTTATGTAGGGGTGAAACCGTACGTGTATTTGCAAGATATATGTCCACGTTTGGATTAAATGTTTTTTGTTTTTTTTAAAGACATAATCAAGAGATGAATGTCTCCACTCAGATGAATAATGCCATGGCTCCCATGAGCCCCTACACCCCCACATACCAAATATATACTCTTCCGTCTCCTCCGTCCCACAATAGTTGTCCATTTTTTAATTTTTTTATTATCAAAATTGGTAAATCTTGATTCTAAATTAAATAAAAATGATATTAGATATGAAATATTTGCACTAGATAACAATAAAACATAAGTCATTTCTCAATGTAGCACTTAAACTTTTTTATTTCCTAAATAGCACTTATTAATGTCTATAATGAGGAATAATGTCCAGTGAAAGTGAGCATTTATTTGAATAATGACCAATGAATAATGGTTAAAAGTGCTAAATTAGAAAAAAACATATATGATGCTATTTTGGGAAAGTCATTATGTTTTAGTACTATTTAGGTATATTTCTCATTAGATATTCATACAAAAATTGTTTTATTAAATTTATTAGATAAAGTTTTTTTCAAAATATTATTTTCAATTTTTTTAGTATTTTTTATTTTTAATAACCCTTAGATCTTAAATCTAATACTCCCTCCGTCCCATATAAAACTTCCCATTTGGAATAGTAGCCCAAAATAAGGAAGGGTTTTTTTGCCCATGAGTTGCCCAAAATACCCCCCACACGCCCTAAATGAAAAAAGGAGAAAAGTGTACTTTTTTTAATTAAATAAGGGGAAGGAAACATATCAAATCAACACAATCATTACACCACTATTCACTACAAA